ACTGAGGGCCAGCCTGAGCTCAGTCCAACCTGCCAACCTGAGCTCAATCCATCACAGAACTTATTTCACGTCCTGAATCTTATGTGCTTTTTTCTTATATGATTTACTCTTTTGGTAGTTTACAGTTTCAACAGACTTCTTACTGTGCTTAAGGTGTCAGCTAAAGATAATCATACTAGAACAGAAATAACATCGGTAAGAATTCATCTACAGTGGATTTTGTCTGTAGCAGAGTTGACAATGTGGGAGACTGCTGCTACTCTACAGGAAAGGGAATAATTTATTTTCCATGAGTGGTAGATAGAAGACGGGGGTTAAATTACTCACAGAAATAGCATAGAAATGGATTGGAATAAATCGTCTCCAGAACTTGAGGATTTTGAGAACAGATGAGATGAATGTCTGCCTAATGATGCAGTAGGCATCTGGGTTGTAGGTATTGACTTTTTAAGGCTTCTTCCAGACCTCCTCTTCGGGGCATTTGTTGAGATTACAGAAGAAGCTTTTTCTTTTTTTTCCCCCCTCTTAATTTAATTCTGTCTGAAATAACGAGTCTAGAGGATATCAACAACATGAGATGATGATTGTTCATGAATATTCATTCCACTTCCTAAACGAACTCCAATGAAGGAGAAATGAAAAAGGGTCTTCAGCTTACGCTTTATGTCCTTCCAAAAGGGACATAAGAACATGCATGTATTACAGATTTTTAGCACGTATGAAGTCCAAGACAAACTTTCCCTTTCTGATGCCTATGCAATATCTTGGACACAGAAAGCCCACTAAGGCTGTCCTTTGCCTGACACCATGATGTCAGCCTCTCTGTGCTGAAAATGGTTCTTCCTTCCCCTGGGAGGACTGAGCTTTCTAAGGGAACAATTTTGAGGGACTCCTCATGTGATATATATTCACAGAGCAGTCTTGGAGTCATTTCCATATAGAATAACAAGTAAACAAATCCAAAAATCCCACCCTGTATATCTTTTAACCAATTACGCTATATTATGATATATTACTAATTAGAAGGGAGAAGTGGACAGTGCTGAATTAGAAGAGAGAGCTTATATAAATACTGCTCTGAATGCAACTGAGAAGAAATGCAACTAATCTTTGTGCAGCAAATCTTACCACTACCAATTTTGTTTCCTTTTATTTTTCATGTTTATTTTTCATTGATTAGGCTAATACATCACAGCTGAAATAGTACTAGTCAACAAGCCAAAAACCATCTGATTTTCATATGGTAATAAAGAATGCTGTTACTTCATCTGCGTTCTATACCTTAGCTTTCTACTGGAAATACTCTTATTAATTTGCAAGCCAACTAATGTCTTAAACCTAGCACTAAGCGCATATAAAGTCTGCACAGACATAAAGCCACACACATCCAGCTATCTCTTGCCAGTATTTGGCCTCTTGAATGATATAAGACTATTGGATCAAAGCCTGACATCTGTGCTGGTGACTGTCAGTCCTCACTGACATCTGAGAAAGTGAGTGTTAGCCTGGGAATGTAAATGGCGCCTCCAAATAATGCAGCACCTCTGAAGAACTGGATCGCGTTGCCAGAAGCAGCGAGCAGCCCAATCCCTCTTTTGGAGACTTAAAATACTGATATTCTTCTGGCCACCAAAACCCTGTCATGTGAGCCAGTCAGTAACAAAGAACATCACCTATAGAGAACATTTTTTTGATGCGAGGCCAAGAAGAAATACTACCTGAGAGGCAAAAGTGTGGGCAAGATTATGCCCTTTATTTCCCTAACAGTGTATCTGCACTATGTGTATATACTTGTATATATTTGTATGTACTACGTATGTATGTATCTGTATTTGTACCTGTTTGCAGGAGGACATAGGAGTGGAACAGGTACTGTGATTTAAAAAGCAGACACAACCTGTTTTCCATGAAGCTGCTTCTCCAGTACCAAATTTCATGCTGGCCAGTATGTAGACCTGTTGCAAGACGCATCTTTGCCTACCTGTGAGGCTTTTGTGTCATGTCTCAAAGCCCAAAAACATCACTGGAAAAACTTCCCAGTGATTTCAGTGGCTTTTAACTTGGCTCAGAGAATAAATGTGAACTGAGGGTTGTAGGGTTCCAGTTATTACTAATTACTGCAGTAATAAATTATATAGAGGTTACACTTCAGAGCAGGTGGCCTGATGAATTCTTGTATTTACCACCCAATTTACCACTAAAGTGCAGGAGCTGTGGGAATGCTTAACTTTTATAAGCTAAGCCTATAAACTGAACCTATGAAACTGGTTTAGTTTTCAGCATTTGGTTTCCCTCCAAGCATAAAAATTGAGCTTGTGTGATAACATGTGCCTATTTCTTTTACTTAGCAGATCAAAAATAAAAGCAGAAGTGCTCTTCTAAAGAGGCATCAGTCTGAAGGCTACGGGAGTAGCATCAGAACAGAGGTCCTCTTCCCAATGGCTGGCTCTGCCACCAAACTCTCATGTCAGTACCAAACAAAACGTCAGTATCACTCTTTTCAAGTCACTGTCAATAGTTAGAGTTACAATTATACAAACCTCTTGTTGCGCTACACTACACAGCAGGATGACTTGCTGATGGGTATTACGGATGCGTATTACAGAGCAGCATATGCTACCTGTATTCAGAGATCCACCCAGATAATCTCCAGATTTAAAAAGGTTTCCTTTTTTAACTGCCTGGAGAATACAAAACCCATACATGTATTACTTTGCTGCTAATTTTAAAAACAGAAGCAGTGTTACTCTTTCATCATCCAGTGACCTGTGAAGCCTGTGGCCCAGAAAGTGCCTGGGACATCCCATGATGTCACGTAACACTTCAATTCTGAAAATGTATGTATATAAATTTACCTAAGGGGCCAGTGTAACATTTTCTGCAACTCATTTTCCCAATACTTTTGTTTTACGTTTAAAGATCTAAGCAACAGTGCTTTTTTATTTGGAGAAAATTTTTCTTCCACTTAGTAGATCTCGGCAGCACATTTTTCTTGCTATAACCCACATTTTCCATTTCTCAGTCTCATGCCGTTACTGCTATAACAGTTCTTCACCCTTGTAGTATGTAAATCATACTCCTCCTTAATGTTTAAAGTTTTCAAGTATTTTCAAATTTACTTCTGTTTGGGACCTCTTAGTCAAATTAATACGTACGTGTTTGCCTACTTTTCTTAAATAACAACAAAATACATCTGTGGTTTGTTTTTCCCAGTTAGCTTTTTCTCTAACTTGGCAACCTCTAAATTAGGTGTTTGTACCATGGGCATGCTGAAACTTCAAAAGGAATGTGAGAGGGGAAATAAACATTAACAAATGTAGTTTTGTTTCAACAGCTGCTACAGTAAGGATGTTGATAAATGAAGTGCCTCAGAATTTAAGTTATTAGGAGTTAAAGTGTTCAGTTTTGATTATGCTTACTTCATAACTGAATAAAGACTGCCACCATGAAATTTGCCAAAAAATTTCTATTTAGCCCTCAAATTCTTTAGCTGGGACACTAGTACCAGTATTGCTTCTGGATGCAGCATTTGCTCAGTAAGTGAGGCAACATTCCGCTAAGGAAAATGCAGATAATGTCACTTGATACATGAAGCTTATAAGGAACTTTGTATAATCTTTGGAGAAAGCTAACTTAGAAACACTTTTTGCAGCTGTGAAGAATGATTAGACACCACAAGCAGTCCAAATACATTATGAAACAACAAATGTTGTGCCCTAGTGCTAAGAAGGTTGCAAAGTTTGCTTTTGTATTTGAAGATGGTGACCATATTTGCTTGAAAAAAACCCATTTGGTTTGCCGTCGTTAGGTATATCTCATTACTAAAAAGCATTGTGGAACAATTTATATAAAACCAAGCTGTAGCTTAGAATAGTTGCAATTTGTTTTGTACCTTGACTTACCACTTAATCTAGAAGCTTTGTAAAATAGTAAAAATAAAGAAGTATAGCATACAGAAGCAACTTTATTTTGCTACTTGCCATTATCAAACTTTAACAGCAGTATAAAAATAAGAGCTGAAAGATGGAAAACTTGGAGGATAATAGCAAGAAAGATGCACTAACTTCAGGGTTTATGCCCTTTTAAATGGAAACATTTTTTTCTTTTTTTAATGTTCTATAAAATAGTTAAAGAGCTGCTTCTGTGAAAGAACTGGCAGAAAGTTACTCTAAAAAAAAGCAAGGGCATGTTAAATCAAGTTAAACCACAAAGTATTAGTCAGATGCTGCCAGGTATCAGAGGAATCACTGGCAAGTCCTATCTTAGTAAGAGCATAAAAGTCCGTTTTGGCAAGACTGTAACTGAACAAAACAGTTGTTCTAAGTAGTGCTACACGACAAATTTATCATGGGACTACCGATGTTCAGCAAATATACCCGTGTTTGCAAGACTCGGGTAAAGACTACTCTTTATATTTTAAATATCTTTGAGAATCCTTAGACAACTATATTTCCAGAGGGAGGTGGGGGATTTATTGTCCCACCCCTCTCCCCCTCCCCAAAGTGTCATTTCATAACCAGTTATCCATCACTAGGTTAGGCTGAAAGGCAAATAAAGCCATATACTGTTCCACAGACTCCTCAGAATAGATAATTTAGGATTTATTTTCTACTGTTATAAGTCCATAAAGCAATTTTTCTATGAAACTGAAAAGCACTGAGAGAACATCCATGAAGCACTATCGTACTAAGCATTTATTCACTCACTGGAAAGGGCTGTGTAACTGTCTGCTATCTGAGTACAACATTTACAAATTGAATATTTAGATCAAGCACCCCAGTTAACTACAACATTGAAACTCTGCTTTCAGTTCATAAGATAATATTCCTAAGTTAAATTTATTAAAACACAAAACAAAAACCATTTTTTGACTGCTTACTCCTAACGGTTTTGTGTGTTTTAAAACATGCAGAAATTTTGGTAGGTGCACTATAACACCTTCTTCTGATGAACCCAAAGTATTTGTTTAATTTTCAAAGGGAAAAAATATGTTCACTTACATGATTTCTTTTGTTTTCTCCATCTTTTATAGATGTGATAACAGTCTCAGAAAAAACTGTTGATCCAGTTTTGTTATCTGTAACCTGGTACAGCAAAAGAAGAACAAAATATCAAACTAGAATTTTTTATTAGGCTTTTGTTACTCTCAGTCCAACATTCTGCAATAATTAACCCACCCCTCCCCTCTCCTTTTCTTCCTCATCTCGCTGTCACTCATAAAATCCTAATCTGGGGGAAAAAGTAGATGACAAGGCTACCTTCTTATCTATTTAAGATGTGACTACAGTGAAACTAACTGGGCAGGAGATGGTCAATCTTTTATTAGCCGTGTAATACCTGTGCTTGTGTTCTATTTTTAAAAGGCACTTTTTTTCAAAATACTTTACTATTTCATATTAACGTTTCATGATATATGTCCCTACACAGTGATTAGGTAAGTAAATAAGATACCATAGAACCCCAAAGTAATTATCAACAGGAACGTTTGTGCTCCAAATTATCTTATTTCTCCCCAAAACATGCAAAATTGGTTTTACTTTTGAAGAAAAGGTTGTATGAGAACCAGCAGCTTGCTACGCAGGTTTTCTTACCTTATCAATTTCTTGATGAGTCTGAACAGTTTTATTACCAATTCTGGTTTCCGTGTTGGACTCATTATGGTAGTTGGGAGGTAAGTTTTCAAAGTTTACTTCCGATAGTTTTTTTGCCCCTTCCTCTTCAGCTTCCATCTGCCAAATTTAAATAAACCAACTGAAAATTAGTAACAGTTACACGAAAGAGAATGAGCAACACTTCTCGTGCAGCCCTCACAACGCGCTGTTTAGTTCTGTGGTGCTGTTAGACAGATCTCCCTGTCCCACAACGCTTACTCAGCCCTTTCAAACTGTGACCACAGCAGCTCTTTTAATGGACTAGAAAAACAACGGGGAGCTAAACCCCTGAGCTCTGGACTGTTAAGCCAAAGTCAGCCCCTGTGAGGAGAAGTGTGTGAGCACTAGTGACAATTTGGTACCCGCGCAGGCTGAGCCCAGCTTTCTGTTCTTCCCAGAAAACCACTGAACAGTTAAGACAGACTTTCGCATCTGACAAAGAAGTGAAAGTACTCTGGCAGGGCAAAGACACACAGGCAAAGCCCCCTGAAGTCAACAAAAGCAGTTCTCTAGACCAGGGTGCACATGTACAAAATTTCATTCTTGTCATTCTCTATTTCAGTTCCCGCTGTCTGTGTTTGCCAGATGAGGACTCAGCACAGAAAAGGAGTGCTCTCTGAATCGGAAAACACAGTCAGCTCAGCAACAGGGAATGAGTCTTGTAAACAACACAATCTCTGAGCAAGTTGCGTCTCTCTTTTATTTGCAACTGCTGTAACGGAGCTAGGAGGCCACAAGTTCAGCTGGGATGAACAAGAGAATTTTTCCAAAGACAAAAATTTCTCTTTCTGGTGTGTCTGTTTATTTTAAATGACAGCTGAAAACCTTTTAAATCGTAAAGCATTTATCTGCTAAGACACAGCTCAGACAATCCACATTTTCTGCTGTATATAGACTATTCCTTAATCCAGAGCTGACGATAGCAGCTAACGATTTTCCTAAGCATATTTTTGATGTTGTAAAGAACACTTTAAAAAATGAAATGGTTTGGCTCAATGTATTTGCAGTCTAAACGAAGTGGGTGACAGAAGCAGACTTTGGCAACTGTCCAGGTGATGGAGAAAGTTCTTAAATTACTGAATTATAGTAAACAAAGGTCTGTTCTCCCCAGTGGATTATCAGTAAAAGCTTTTTTTGGACTATGTATTTTTGGTTGAGAGGAAGAGCGAATCTGAAAGGAAGATTCTCAGCATGAAGGGGAAAACAGCGCAGAAGAAAGGGGGATGCAGGAACTAGGTCTGAGAGCGATCCGGGACAATGGCTCGGGCTCTGGCCTCGGTTCCTGCCTTTGAAACAGCTCCAGCGCCATTCTGGGCGAGCAACTGGAGATGAGGCGAAGGAGCTGCATCGCACGCACAGGCAAGCCGCTTCCCCACACGTGGTTTCAGCACCTTTGACTCCTGGCTTGCGAGAACCTCTCGGGCACCAGTTCCCGCCGCACAAAGACAACAGAGTAGCTCCTCGCTCCTCCCCTTACCACGCACCG